AAGGAATAATTCACTATTCTTCTCATACAACCCCAAAATTTGACATATTTCTAATAAATTTTTAATGCCCAAAGATTTACTAAACTAAAGTTTTGGGGTCAATTCCACTAATTTAAACTAACTTTTCTATAATTTATCCAAATAAAAAAAAGCTCTAACCAAAATTTATAACTGAAACTCATACTTACATGAAAAAGCACCTTAACCTTAACTGGAGAAAGAAGGGAGAAAGATGCAGGTGGAAGAGGAAGGTGCAGGAAAAAAAATGGGGGCTTTTGGAAGCCTTCTAAAGGCTTATCCAAGTCCAACCGACAAGGAAAAAAACTTGGTTGGTATAATGCCATATGGTAAGAAAAATTAGAATAATTGAGTTAAGGCTATTCAACTTTTACTAAATTCTACTTAAAACCCCCAAACTTTAAACTCAATCAATTTAACCCCTAATATTGTAAACTAAAGAACCCTAATTTTTAAATTATTCACTAAGGTATGTGAGGTGTTACGTAAGAGATGAAACCCTAGAAAAAAACAAGTTAACGAGTTGCACTTTTTATGTTTTGATATAAAACATTTCTAATATAAAGAAGAGGCAAGAGAAAAAAATTGGGGTAAAAAAATATATGTACGTAATGATATATTGATATGTAAGGAATGACTAAGAAATAATAATAGATTTGAAATGATGATAATGAGAGAAAGAATAAAACAAATAAAATACTAATAAGTGTGAATTACTAATATAGAGAGGTTTGTCTGATTGCATCTCTTTTTTATTAATTTGTCTCGAAAAACACAAAAATTAATTTCATTTTCAACACCAATAAACATGTGTAGAATTTTAATTGGGCAATAGATAAAATTGAGAAAAAAGTGCAATTAATGCATCCTTAGGACATATGTTTGAAAAACTCAATATAAAAAGGAAAAAGGATGGAAAATGTAGGATATAAAAGAAAGATATAATGATAAATAGTGGTGAAGGAAGTTAAGAGATGGAGTTACAAGAAAAACTAATGAGAGGTAGAGTAAACATAAGTGAAAATGTACCAAAAAATAATAGTTATAAGTTGTATCTTTTATGTTTTGAATTCAAAATTTTCTAATATAGACAGTGAGAGAGAGAAAAAAATAAGGGTAGAAACAAGGATGTATAAATGATAGATAATAATATCAATAATGACTAAATAAGAATAATAGAGAGTGGATAATAAGGAGAGAAATTGAGTCATAGGAATAATTAGTAATAAAAGAAAAAGAATAAAGGTAAGTGAAAAGAACTAGAGAATAAAAGTTTTGCCACTTATTTTTTGCCAAAATCATTTTTAATATAGACAATGCGAGAGAGAGAAAAGTTAGGTTAAAACAAATTAAGATATATAATGTCCTATGAAGATCCAAGGAGCAATTAAGAAAGAATAACATATATGGAAAGGGAATAAAAGAATAATAATAAATAAATTATTAATATATAGTAGGAAAGTAAACGTGAGTGTATAATAACGAAATAAATATAATAATAAAATATGAAGGTAAGTTAAATGATTAAGTCCCAAGAAAAGCATTGAAATGTGGAGTAAAGATAAGTTAAAATGTACTGAGGATTGAGATAATAATTCTAAGAAATTGTGCCTTTTAAGTTTTAACATAAAACTTTTATAATATAAAGAAGGAGAGAGAGAAAAAAATTGGAGTAAATTATAAAAGAGATATACAATAATATGTGAGAAATAACAAAGAAAGAATAATATAGACAGAATAATAATAGTAGAAAGAATAATAACAAATTAAGTACTATTATAGAGATGGAAAGAGAGTGGATTTTTTTTTTTTTTTTTTTGGAATAGCAAATAAGAAGCTTATTAAAAAACGAACTATAAAGGGGTACTCCAAACTATTAAGAAAATAATACCAAGAAGGAGGACATTTTATATTTTGACATAAAATTTTTCTAAGAACATGTGAAAATAGAAAAAATGGTAAAAAAAAGAAGATATATAATAATAGAGAAAGATGTAAGGACTGCTAAAAAATAATGATAGAAATGAGAGTACATGAAAGAAAGAATAATATGCAAGATAAAGAAATAATTATAATGATAGAAAATGTTAAAGAGAAAGCTGAGAATAATAATAATGAACAAATTATCAATTTAGAGAATGAAAGTGAAGGGAGTGTAAGATATAAAAATAAATATAATGATAAAATTTGACTGGTAACCAAATGGATGGGTCCTAGGAAAAGTAATGAGAAGGTGGAGTAAAGGCAACTGAAAATGTATTGAGATAATAATGCCAAGAAGTGGCTATGCCTTTTATGTTTTAATATAAAATATTTCTAATATAGAGAAGGGAAGAGAGAAAAAATTAAGGTAAAAGAGAGAGATATAATGATATATTAAGATATAAGGAATGGCTATGAAAGAATATTAGAGATGGAATGATAATTAGTGAAAGAAAAAAAAAACAAATAAATAACTTATATTAAAGAGGGAACTAATATAAAAGAGGGAATTAATATGGAGAGAAAAAGAGATGGTGAATCTCTAGTATATAAATAAATATAATGATAAATTGTGATAGGAAAACTAAAAGATTGAATCACAAGAAAAAACTGATGATAGACGTAGAACAAAAATAAGTGAAAAAGTACCAAAGAGCAATGTAAATAAGTTGTGCCTTCTACATTATGATTTTGAAATTTTCTAATATAAATAAATAGAAAGACAGAAAAATTAAGGAAAAAAATAGAGATATAAACATAAATTACGATATTGATAATTACTAATGAAGAATAATAGAGAGGGGGTGATAAGAGGAAAAAGAATAATAAAAAAATCAATCCATAGAGGCAAGAAAAGGGGAGGATGTAGGGTAAAAAGATATTCGAGGAGAAGCCAAGAGATTGAGTTACAAAAAAAAAATTAATAATGAGAGAAGTTGAGTAAAGGTTAGTAAAAAAGAATTAGAGAATAATGTTAAGAAGTTGTGTCACTTTTATTTTGATTAAAAGTATTTCTACTATTGACAATAAGAAAAAGAGTAAGAAAAAGAGGGAAATCTCAATAAGAAGGATATATATAATGATAGATCAAGTCGCCAGGAGTGATAAAAAAATAATATAAAAAGAAAGCTTAGGAGATAAAAGAGCAATAAAAAACTATTATTTAATAATAATAATAATAATGATTAATTATATTTTTAAAAATTGATATACATTGTTTATATGAATATAATATTAAATTTAAAAGTTGATTTTTAAAATATTTATTAAAGAGTAGTATTTTTAAATAGAGTTGAAATTTATATGTAACATTTTTTAATTATTATTATAAAAATTTATAATTAATAAAAATTTTAAAAAATACAAATAAAGCGCAGGAAGCACGAGTTAACGTCTAATGTATAAATTAATCTTAACTTCTACAAAAAGTTAATAAAATAAGCCGATAAAAATAAGTTAATAAAATAAGCCGATAAAAATAAGTTAATAAAATAAGAAAAAAAAATCTCCCTACACTTTTATTTAATTGTCCCACACTCCCAATTATTAAATTAGGATTTTTTTAATTGTCTCTCCTTTTATTTTTGAAATACTATAAATGCTGTTATCCCAAACTCACGACCGTTACTCTAACAAATTGAAAGGGAGAAATGCTTTTACTTGAGATAAACAACGTATTTCAAGCCTTAATTATTACATTTTTAATTCTTTTGTTAGTCATTTTTTTAATTGTACATATTTAAATTAAAATTATTAAAAAAATAAAAGTAATAAGAGATATTTCTTGAGAATATGTTTATTTTAAAAAAAATAAAGGAAAGCCTAAAACAAAGGGAGAAAAATAAAAAAAATTATTGTGTCTTCATATTTTTTTTCATTTTTTTTATCTTTTTTTATTTAATTTTTTTAATAATTAAATAAAAATATTATCCTTATTCTTCTTTCTTTTTTTTTTAAATTAAACAAATTATAAAAAAATATTTACCAAAAAAAAAGTTATAAAATAAAGAACGAAGACCACGAGCGTCTCTCTTACTGGATAGGAGCAATCCTAGGGGCACTCGCCAATTGCTCTCTCCAACGAACACATCCACTCTCAATAACGTTTTTTAACAGGTTGCATTTCATAGCCTTAAAAGCAAGCTTACGTGGCCCAATAAAAAGGCATGTGTTGGCTGAAGAGTGCAGAGGCGAGGGCCCCTAGCACTACTCATTGGATAGATTTTTGTACGAACAAACGTACAAAATGCTACACTTTTATTATTATTTTTTTAAAGTAGTACTATCTTCATTCTTTTATTATGTTAAAAATATAAAACATTCTCTATCTTAAAATAATAAAAATTATTTTATTTTATTTTTAGATTAAAAATTTAATGATAATATTTATTTTTACTTATTTTATTTAAAAAAAAAATTTATGATAAGATAAATAATTAAAATTAAAAAAAATATTTGTCTCCTTTCAAAAATGAAAAAACCACTATTATTCTAAAATAAATTTTAAATTAAAAAAGCCTATTATTTTGGAATATAAGAAGTAATAATTTTAATCAATACTCTGTCCATCCCAGAATGATAGACACATTTTGATTTTATTTTCGTATTAAGAATTTTAGAGCAATTTCTATTAAAAAATTAAAAATAATAAGATTTAAATCACAATAGGATAGATAATTAAAGTTCAAAAATAATGATAAAGTTTAAACTAAAAAAAATATTTGTCTTCCTTAAAATATATATGAAAAAACAGTTATTATTTTGAGAAAAATTCTAAATTAAAAAACATACATTATTTTAAGATGGGATGAGTAAAAATATGCTATAAAATAGTAACTAAAATTACTAAACATATATTCCTTCCAGTCAAATTTAATTATTTTAGTTTAACTTTTATATAAAATTTGATCAAATAATTTTATATAATAAATAAATTATAATGAAATTTTTTTTCCTTTCTATACATAATACTTTTTCAATATTTTTATTTTAAAAAAATTTTAATTATCATTTATTTATTATAAAAAATCATTTAGTCAAACTCTATATAAAAATCAGTTTAAGACAATTAAATCTAACTAGAAGAGAAGTATAAAATAGTAATCAAAATTAATTAAAAATAATAAATTTATATTTTTAGATAAAGTGTTCTATGAAAAAAATTATCTAAAGTATTGTCAAATGAAACCTTATATTAGCAGTTGTATTTTTACTTTTTCTTGATATTTTTATGGGGTTAAAGTTTTTCAAGTCAATCTGTTTTTTTTTTTTTCCTTACAAATTGATTTGAAAAACACTTTTTTGTATCTTTATATAATATTACTGCTTACTTCATCATTAATTATCAAACTTCTTTCTGAATTTAGTTGTCACATATCGGGTGAGCTGAAGCTTTTTTATTGCTAAAAAAACTTAGCAATAAATATGAAATTTTTACAAAAAAAACATAAAATTTAAATTTCTAATAATTGTTGATTTTTCAAATTTTTAATAAACTATAGTTTGAGGAAGATAGCATATAAATGACAAGATCAATAACAATTAAAAAATTTTATTAATTGAAATTATTTAATAAGAATTTGAGTCTAAAAAATTTCAATTATCATTCATACTATAATATATACAAGTTGTCTAGTATAATGATTTGAAATTAGCAGTTAAGAGTGTTTAAATTATTAACAATAATAATTATTAATTCTCAAATTAAATGAATCAGCTAACTATTACTTTCAAACTACTATATCAAATAACTTCATAAAAATATCAACAATGTTATAATTATAATATTATATAAGAATGTAAATTTATAATAATAAAATGATATTAAACAAATATGATGTAACATGATATATATGATATCACCAATAAACTCTTTGAAACAAACTAATTATATAATCATATAGCATATTATACACTTATAATAACTCATAACGTTATAAATATGGCATTTTCATAAAAATAAACAGTGTATCTAAAATTAAGCGTAAAAGTTAAAGTAAACAACTAGCTTTAGTAGATGTAGTGTAGGATACAAATACCCACGTATACCTAATTTTCATGACTCACGCCCGTTCATTTTCTGTACACCCTTTTAATAAACCACTCACTCTTCCTCCCGACACAAACACCTGGAACTAGTTTACAGCTTACATAACGCTATTGCCTTATTACGACCAATATTGGCTTGACAGAGCAAAAGAATCTTGGAAGGAAGCAATTTGACATGCTTTACGCTATTCACAAATGGAAGTTTTGGAAAGTAAGAGCCTACTTTGAAAACAATCCTGATGCAATATCTACAATATTTGAAAATGGGCAAACTGTTCTTCACGTTGCAATTACAGCTGGTCGGCTAAGGATTGCGAAGGAATTGATCACTAGTACTAGTATAGAAAACATACAGCACTTAGAGACACAAGATAAGAGTGGCAACACAGCTCTTTCCTTTGCTGCTGGTAGTGGAATGATGGAAATTGCAAAATGCTTGATTGAAAAGAACAATAAGTTGCTTACTATCCCAGATGCCCACGACAAGCTCCCAGTTCAATTGGCTTGCAGGGCAGGCCTTGAGGACATGACTCGCTACCTCTACAGTAATACCCCGTCAGAATGTCTAGATGGAGCCTATGGTTTCCACCTCCTCGAAGAGTGTATAACCAAGAAAATGTTTGGTAAGAGCTCTAATATTCATCTTCTCTTTCTATAATTTTGTTATTTCATTTTTCTCTAACAAACTTAATTTGATATATGTCAGATATTGCATTCAAACTCCTCAGCTACTTTCCAAAGTTTGCAATATATAAGTTCTTTAAGGATAGTTCCATTCCGATCATTTCAACTCTTGCTCAAACACCACCCCCATTTTTTAAAGGAAAGCAGCTAGCATTTTGGGGACGATGGCTATATAATTGTCAGTATTGCTTAACTTTATCTCTTTAATTTTTAATATAATTTCTCTTTTAATATATTTGGCTAAAAAATAGAGTATCTTGGCAGCTGGGCCGCTGGTTTCAATTCTTCCGAAATTCCTTAGTAAGCAATAAAGTCCACTCAATGAGTCTTTTTTCTTCCTTTTTCTGGATTCTTGTTAGTAAAAATGAAGCTTTTTCTTTTCTTTTTTTTTTTTTTTTTCAACAGCAAGGCATATATATGAATTAAAGTTGATGGATGAAAATGCCCGTGCGATTATATATTTTATATGTTGGCGAT